TGAGATTCGAAACATTTGAAATTAATGTGTGGCTTCACATACCAATGCCCGGCAATGCATGAGTCAGATATATATGTGCGCCTGGGAGCAAGCTGGCAAACGCGTAGGGGTCGGAAGGATAACTTTTCATGGAGTGACAGCAAAACATTTGGATTTTCCGGCATTGCTGACCCTGAATTTATGACATTTAATCCGGGTGCTGCCACGGATGTAGGATTACCTCAGAGAGACACGGCAGTTTCAAAAAAATGCGTGACACCTTATCACGAACAAGCCCTTTATTTCTCTTTCCGCATCATCATTCATTTAAATCGGTTAAACATCTTTATGACGATATGAATTCCACTTTCAACTTCTTTTCGTTTTGAACAATCTACTAGGACGCCTGTTTGTTTTTGAGAACCCCAGTTTCGAAACCCAAATTTCCAGGGGGCAGTTCTCAACGTCTTAAGAAATAGGTACCTGGTTTATTCTGACAGGCACAATATCCACAGGATAAATTGGGGGGACATATAAATTGTCGTGTGCTGGACAACTAAGCGACCTGGGAGCGGATCACGCCGTGAATAAATCTTTCGGTGTTTTTCCAATTTAGCTCCATTGCGACTTATTAGTTAATACGTTTTTCAACCTCAATATTGTAACTAAAATTGAACTTTTTTTCAAAAGGAGAGGAGATAAAAGGCCGTATGTTTTCCGACAAATTACACTTCGGTATTATTCCCGATGTTGTTTAGGCCACCCTAAGGTAATGGCAACAGAGAAATAAATGAAGGAGTGAAATGTCCACACATGCTTTTGTTTTCATGCTTTCAACCACGCGGCAAATAATAGTGTATAATGCATGCTGATAACAAAATTTGAAACAACTATACACTCAATCATACCAAAGTAAAGGTCAACTCTTGTGTAGACGATTTCATCAACACATTCTTATAAATTCTGCAGTTACGTGCAAAAACAACCTATATGCTGATGTAATAAATCACAAATTTGGGAACCGATATAATCCAGACCGGAACCGAAAGCAAACAACACAGATGGGTTTGAAAAGAAAAAAAGTTGCTTTTATGACCTAGATGTGTTTGTGGCGGGTATTCGCCTAAGGAAAAAAATTAAGGAGCCTTTTATCAACTAAATGTTTGAGGAAACGTTTGGGGTGTACGCTGTTTATTTCGGGAGATGGTTTATAAATATTTGTTTTAAGACGATGACGTTTGTTGAGAAGGGCCACAAAGGAGTATTTTCCTAACTTTTGCAACAAATTACTAAGCTTCCTGGTGACGAAATTGCTCCCATTATCTGTACAACGTCTTACACTGCAGACAAAGTTCACAAAATATATTCATTGATGTACAGTAAAATAAGCTGACTAATTTGCACGCCATTACCTATAACCCCTTGGCTTCTAAACACAGTGACTAATTCCAATGTTTTGTGAATTGCTAAATAATAATCAAGATTGATTACCTGAATGAGAAACCACGTGCTCAAACGATTGACCATCATGTTAACCCGATCTAGTTGGCTGTCGTTTGACTTGGCTTAATAGTTCACTTTACCAAGGCTAATTCAACGTTTTCAGACATAGGTTGGGAAAACGTGTAATTCGAGAGCCTGGCACCTTTGTACAGATATTGAAAATCTAGTAGGCGCACGGCATATGGGGTGCAACTACTTGTTCTTGTACATCAGTAGAAGGTTGTGAAAATGCTCAGCTGGTTCAGCATAGCCTGACCACATTTGTGTAGTAGATGCTGACTGGTAGGCCATATATCCTAATTGGAACCTAACAAAGGTCAGCATTTTGAATGAGCGGAACACTTTAATCCTACCGCTAGCCTACACAATGTTGCCCATCTTACGCACAAGAATAATGCTGATACACGCATTATATTTAAGATATGCTGAAGTTCTGACTCACAAAGTCACAAATAAAATCTTGCGTTATCAAAAAAGCTTGAATAATTTCTCAAGATTTTCTCAACTCATGTAGTTCATTTCTGTAGATCATCCTTGAACTACATCCTGAGGGTGACTAGCAAACAACTTTTTACTTTGAATTATCTCATCCAAACTACGTACAGATATAGAGGAAATTCATTTTGCCAATGCATCTGAAAGGGTCTAATTTTCTTAAACTTAAAATCCTTTTTTGATTTTCAAATGGAGCACTGGTAAAACCATAGAACTTCTGGCTAAAGCTGAAAGCGGGATCCTCAACATAATCACTCGCATTTTAAAGGCATACCTTGAATATTTTACAAAGATATAATCCGGTGATAAGAAACTTGAATTGCTTATAACCCAGGATCATGCTTGCTATCTGCAAGTAACAGATCTCATCATTGACTACTTGAAAAATCCCAGCCCCGGCTTTTGCTGCGCTATAAGAGAGTCGAGCAAAGAGTTTCTACCAGCATCCGAAAATGAAAATTTGAAACAATTCTAATGTTTCTGTGCGGGGTTTCTAAAAATATTTTCCAACCTGGGAAGTCACGCTGCTGAGAAGTTGTCGTTTCTCCGATTGTCTGGGAAATAAAGAGGGAGTATAGATAACAATATTATGTGTTACGACAACGTTTGCTCTAGAACCAACTGCATAAGAAGCAGGGA